CATTAGTCAAATACCAGCTCGACGTGTTTTTGTGAATGCTCACAGTTACAGTGTTTTAAGGTTTTTGTAATTAAAAACAGCTGGACTAGTCATTTCCCTTGAAAAAGTCACCAACAGCGTGTCAATTTAGCTTATATTTGAGGTCTGGTAAGTGATTTTTAATTTTACTTACAATGATTAGATTATACATTGCCCATTACAATTGTTCGCACATAACATTAATGTTATTGTTATTATTTTAATTTTTATTTTTTAACTTGAAGTAAAATGTAATTTTTCTTATCCTAATGATGTTTAGTGCACAAATTATTACACTAATAACTATAAACATTTAATAAAACTGTTAAACACACACACACACACACACACACACACACACACACACACACACACACACAGATATGTCTACTGACAAACTGCATTCTCCACACTAACACACTGATGCGCAGCACAGTACTCCTCCATAATACAGTTTCAGCAGATCTGTGTCTGTGTGTCTGTGTGTGTGTGTGTGTGTGTGTGTGTGTGTGTGTTTGAGCTGTTCCTCATGGGGACCTTCAGTTCCCCCAGCATGTAATCCACTTAATACAGGAGCATATCCCAGCATGCCTTGAACCTTTAATCTGCAGCCTCAGTGACTGTACCTCAGATTGTGATCTGTTTACCTGCTAACATGCAGTTTAATCAGCTCCGTGATGACCAGCTCACTGCAGTAATGTTCATGTTCAACTGCATTTGGAGAAGTACACACACATGCAGTACATTACTGATAATACAGCAGCTATTACACTGATCATCCTCTAACCAGATCAATCCAGCATATAACTGAACCTGTCCTCATCTTCCCCGCATCACATGTCAACAGCACACAGTGTAGTTCTGCAGTAAAGCTGCGGTCACACTGGGCTTTTCCTCCCGTACACTTCCTTTCATAAGCACTCAAACACGTCAGATCAGAAACGCAGGGTCATGCGTTAAGTTTCGCAGGTTGCTGTGGTGGAGAGTTCAAGCTTGGTGAACTCTGACCTGCGAAATCGCATCACTTGACTGCGTGAGACCAATCGAGGATCAAGACATGACCTCTCTGAACAGAAAACTAAACTATGAAGCAATCGCTCGCTTTATTAATGACTAATAAACTTGTTTAATCCCGCAGCGCCGTACGACAGAATTTCGCACAAACAAACTCTAGTGTGACCACAGCTTAATTGATCAGTTGTGGTGATTCTACAGTTGCTATGGTAACACAACAACTACAGTGATATAAAGAAATGAGCCAGTACTGTAGTTGTCTACAGCTGTAGGGTATATTATACTGCACTACAGCACAGTTTACCGTAGTAAGCACTACAGTACACTACAGAGTTTAGGGTTGATCAGTTGACTGTAGTTGTAGTGTGCTGCAGCGTTCATTAAGTTGTGTAATGCACTGGATTAGGACACACCACTATTCATCTGGGAGCACACACTAGTCAAACACACTTCAACACACACACACACACACACACACACACACACACAAACACTTATGTGTGTCATAACCTATATTTCTGTGTCTGTCTTTCTGTCCACTGGAGATCAAAGCCTGTGTGGAGCTCTCGGTCCGTGGATTACACACACACACACACACACACACACACACACCAGTGGAGTGACGCTTTCCCTCTGCAGCAGGGTGAATAAGGAGTCCGCATGTTCAGGAGAGCGAGGATTGAACTCAATTAGAGGAGAATAGAGCAGTGAAAGCATCCAACACACACACACACACACACACACACAGACGCTATTCACCTGAGAAGTGTTTCCATTGAACCATGCAAAGATTCAAAAGTGCTTTTTAGCATCAAGAACATATATCATCATTTTAGACACACACACGCACACACACACACACACACACACACACACACACACACTAATGCGGTTTCTTGCACAATAAAGCTGCCAGCTCGATTTGACAAGCGTTTCTACAATAACAACAAATGGCACCACACACACACACACACACACACACACACACACACACACACACACACAGGAGCAATGAGTGACGGAAATGCCGCAGTAAGACTCCCTTTACTTGTAGAACAGTGTTACGCTGGCGTGAAGCTTCTGGAGTTGTGTGAAAGGGTTGAAAATTTGCTGAAAAATCTCAGACTTAGTGAATGTCTCTCTCACACACACACACACACACACACACACTGGGTGTGTGTTATCATACTGTTGTTAGTTATCAGACTGTTATGTGCGAGTTAGCAGACTGTTGTGTGTATCAGGGAGTGAGTTATCAGACTGGTGTGTGATATCAGACTGTTGTGTGTTATCAGACTTTTGTGTGTTATCAGGGTGTGTGTTATCAGACTGGTGTGTGTTATCAGACTGGTATGTGCGAGTTAGCAGACTGATGTGTGTTATCAGGGTGTGTGTTATCAGACTGGTGTGTGATATCAGACTGTTGTGTGTTATCAGACTTTT